TTATGAACGATTTGTACGTCTTTAAAGTTATCCCAGATAGTTTCAACCAGCTAATTAATTATTTACACACTCATCACGATATAGCACTTAATTATTATGAGCCATTGTACAAGCAGATTATGTCACTTACCATATATCAGCACAATTTCATTCAATTTATCAAAACAATAATGATACGTATAATATGGAAACATTTTTTGTATTTAAAAGATATCAACCCAATTCATTTATTAGGCCGCTTTAACGACGCCATATACGTATATTTAGAAGGATTTATCAATTATTTCCACTTAAAAGATGATTCCAAATTAATGGAACTACTCAACTTAATAAAATCTTCCAAAAATTTGACTTTTTTTAAAAATAAAATTCAAACTATTATTGAAAAAGTGGTCAATATATTAGATGACATATCGTCAAGATTGAACATTAACATAAATTGTTCTGAGTCAATACAAGTTCCGAATGAAATTTCAGCACAGAATTTAATAGAAGATCTAAAGAAGATAGTACCAGATAATAATGAAATAATGTCATCTAAAAAAATAACTAAAACTTTAGCAAGAGAAAGCATTCTGAGCACAAAAGTTTTGTTTTATTGTACTTATAATACATTCAAGTCAATCGACTTTGACTTAATTAATTCTTTCATGAATGTGAGTAAATCCGCATTATTTACTCAACTTGAGGAATTAGAAAAAAATATTTAAAGCAGTCTCGTCCAACCGTCAATTTATTGAAACTGTTAATATTTGTTTTATTATACTGTGAATAAGTTATTTCAATGTATAAAATTTTAAATTCCTTTTTAATATTACTTATCAATTGTACATTACACTACACACTTGTAAATCTATCATATAAACGTTGAAAAAAAATTTGATGGAAATTAAGCAAGTCAGTTGACCTGTAAGCTAAAAATAATAATAATAAAATGTTATCTATCGGTTAATATTGTTCATCTTTATATCTCAATTATTTAATTAGATATTGTCAAAATCTAATTCATAATCTGTTTAGGATAATCTATATCAAAACTTAATGTATTTTAGTTTTTACTTCACATTTATGATCAATTTTTTTTATTTTGGTGGTGTTTAATCTAATAATTTATTGGTAGAATTTTAAATTTTAGCTAAATATGGTATTTACATTTCAATAATCAGTATTTCATGAATGCTCAAAATAGTGTTTATAATATGATATCATTATTTTACACCTGTTATTATTAACTAATGCACAATTAATTATCTCACGATATAATTTAAGGTTATTAGCAACTAGTTAAAGAAAAATAGGATACATTATTATTTTTATGGAGGGCGATATTACCCTCACATGCGGATAATTTCACAAAAATTGTTTTTTTTTTTGGAAATAACACGTTATTTTATATTACGTTATTGTAATTTATCTTCGCAAATAAAAATTTAAAGAAGGTGAATAGTCAAAGTTAAATTCGTTTCTCTAAATTGGCTACAGATTTTATAGCCAATTGTCTTTAATTGGGCGATTTCCCGTATCTGCTACATACTTATTCACTACTTTGCACAACTTGACAGGGTTTTAGATGTACGTAGCAGCCAGTAAAACAATTTTATTTCAGGTTTTTTACGGATTATCTATATCTGTGCTCAAAGCAATAAAATGACATTGAACGAGAATTCTAACCTTATTTTTTAAAAGTACAAAAGAATTATATTTTTCATATAAGTTAGAAAAAGCTTCTAGAGAAAAATTAATACGAAATTTTATACGTATATTTTGTTATCACTAGGGAACAGTGCAATAAAATTAAAAAAAAATTAAAAACCCCTAAAAAATTAGCATGTCAAGCAGAAGATTCTATATTGATAAATTGTATGTGCATTTGTCGAATTTCAAGTAATTAGAGCAAGTGTAGATTACCTAAAGGTAAATTTATGGGTAATTTCGGAAATTTAAATTAGCATTTGAAGATAAAAGGTGACAACTGAGTTAGTATTTAGGGATGCTCTATTTTTAGAGTAGTTTTTACAGGTGAGCTTAAAATATAAATGGGGATTTATAATTATGTTTACACGATGGAAGAGTCAGTAAATAAAATTTTGAAGGCGTAATCAGTTTTGAAATATTACTTTTTATAAAAAAAACATTATTTAACGAAAAAAATGAAGGTTGTATTTGTAAAATAAAATAAGTGAAATATTAAAAATAAATAAATAAAAAATAACTAACTCAATTCGTATGAATATTTTTAGAGAATGAGTCAGTATTTTAAATAAAACTGAAATATCAATTTTTATGTCGATGAACAAATTTATAATTATTTTTTTAAAATAAATTGATAAATATAAAAATTATTATCAACTTCAAGTTAAATCTTAAAAGTTTTATAATTGATTACAATCACTACCATTAAAACGCTTCGATGCAAATAGTGTTTTTAAAGAGAATAGTTGGATTGTGCCAAAAGCAACATCATCTGCTATTTTTGTTATACAAGTTTTTAAATATAATATGACACGACTTGTGTCGCAATAATGTAGTCAATACTAATTTAGACGTTTATTGATAATGAAACAACAACAGATCATTTGTAAAACCGATAAGACGAACGCAATGAGTAGTACTCCTTGCACAACGTCGTGGCACTGTCGCTGTGGACACGGTGTCCGTCATTTTCATTGGACGTCAATAGTTGGCCACGTTGGTGGCGACGGTGTACTGGTGCGGCTTCGATTCGTCGTGTCTGGACGTGTTGTACGTCCGGAGTCGATGGCGTACATCCTCGACGTTATCACTTGGACGACGTGAAAAAGACTCGACGTAGTATTGAAACAGTCGGCTGTGCAGTCGTTATTCGACAACTTATTCATTGTTAATATTAAATAAATATTATAATATTGTAATTAAATAATTAATCAGTCTAACTACTATATTTTCACATAGTATGATTGACAAAGATGGTGCGTGTTCCGCATATCACGGAGCGCTGAGGACCGTGTCAAATACTTAAATAAATACTTAGTAATTGAGATTGTAATTTATCATGACCTATTGGTAGCTAAAACATTTTTTATCGAATTTCCAGTCCCTTCTTTTTTACATATTTATTAGTCCCTTGAATAAACACTCATTTACTTTTTTTTTCTTTATAAAAAAAGAGTAGCTACCTTCTCATACTATACAATTATACTGTTTGACCTAAAGTAGAGATATAAATAATTGACATAAATTTTGAAGCAGAGAATTATAAAATCACGAAAAACAATGACTTTTAAACAAAATTAACATTTTTTATTTAATTTCAAGGCCTGTTTACATAAAACAACTCATCGGGACAATTTTTTTTTCAACTTTTTTAATATGTCACATAATTTAAGACATATTTAAAGGTATAAGGATTTTCCAATCCTTTTGATTACAAATCCGGTAGTCGTAAAATGCACTAGTAAAAAGATAAAATGAACATTTTAAGCTAGTTCAAATTTTCATAGTCGTTTATCTCTGGCATTTGCAAAAATTCAAAATAAACTTAACTTTATGTTCAATGTAAATGAAATTCATACAATACTTATGAAAAATGGTCACTCTTTATGAGAAATTTTAAATTAAAAAAATATCTATATGACGGATAAAAGAGATATGTATAAAGTAATTAAAAATTAAAATTATATTGATTCATACATTTTTCGAAAAGTTATTAAAATTAAAAGTTGAAGGTATAAAATATAAAATTATAGAACTAGAACACAAGAGTAGTACATTTTTAACTACAGGGGCCAATTGTACTTTATATTATTATTGTTCATATTAATTTTGTAATTTTTTGACAAAAAATTCGTTATATTACATAATCATTTTAAATACTTTTTTTCCTAATTTCTTATTGTATAAATGTACAATCCTTCAATAAATTTCATTTAGTATAGAACTGTTCGATGCTCAATTGTCTTGACATTACCCGTAATTTTCGTGACGCCAGTATAGTATATACACTCAATTTTTTTATTATATATAATGTTTAAGTCATACAATTTATATTTTATAAATATAGACTATTATTTTTAAATTTTGTTTTTGAATATATGCTCAATATGTTTGAATCAATTATTATTATCAATAATTATTATTCAAGTATTTAAAAATATATTTTGAATTTAACTTTTATTAACATTCGAATATATATTCTGAATACGTTTTAAGTTATGAAAATTTCAGGTAAAAAAAAAGTTAAAAAAAATTGTTGAAATTTACTGATTTTAAAAATCGACATTTTTTTTCGTAGATTCCTTCATTTACGAAACACGGATACAATTAATGTCTTTAATTTAATACCTTTTGAGTTTTGCATCAAAGCTAGAAAATGACATCATATAAATATAATTAGTCTAGTCATAGCATAATTTTAAATTTGACGATAAAAACGATTACATTATTAATTTTAATCATTGTTAAAAAATGATTCAATTAAATTTTTTTAATTAGCCCTTACTTAAAATTCTATAATTGATCACAAACATTTGTGATGTTTTAAAATAATCAAAAATAATAAACCAACAATATATTTCTTGTGTATTTCTTGTGAGTTATTAAACGTACATTTTTCAAACTACAACAGTTATTGGAAGATTAAGAAAATTAAATTTAGTAAATGCAATATTGACATCAAAATATATCAGATATGAAACAATAATTTTACTTTTAACTAGTATATTTACAACTACACTAAATAAGTTAATAAACAACCAATGTCCTTAGCATGGCCTCAGTAGGCTATGGAGAGTATTCTAAAAAAAAGCTATAAACAAAAATTACTAGGTAGTGTAAAGAAAATGTATACAGAGCCCTTTAAAATGAATGTCAACATGCAACTAGCCAATTTATTTTACATAAATAAAAATAAAATATAAGTATAACAATATTCAATGACTAGAAATTAATTTATTAAAATTCAAATAGAGTACATATTTTTTTTAATTATGTTAAAATATGATTCATAAATAATTTAACATTTATAACATAGTAGTGGTCAAAAATTATATTATAATGATGATGATGTTTAAAAGATAAAAAATATTATTTTTTAGGTAAAATACAATAATAAAATTAAAAAATTAAAAATTTGTACTTCAATAAAACCATAACTTAAGCAAAGCTTTTTTTTTAAATAATAAGTTTTTATAATATTACAATAAAATAGAAGTAAAAGTATGTTTACAAAGGGAATAAAAAAATGTAGAAAAAAATTGAAGTTTTATTTTCTCTATAATTATACATAATAACGTAGTAAAACATATAGATATATATATATTCATATTATATATACTAACTATTCAATTAGTATAATACATAAATATGTGTATCATACTTATTAACACAAAATGGTTATATTTCCATTATCAGCACCAAGTATAAGTATTTTATTTAGACTCAATACTGACATAGTAGTTAAAACACCTTTAAAAATATCTGCTCTAATTTTTGTAGATGAAAATGATGCTTCACTTGTGAAACCAGTATGTACTCCAATTCGGTTAGCTGTTGTACCTGATATTAGTTCATTTCCGTGGAGACCTAAACAATGGACTGGCTCAGGTGACCCTCTAAAATAAAATTTAATATTGATTAAACATACTAAAGATATGTTTACTTATCTTTATGTAATTTAGATATGCGTACATAAAGATACACACACATATATAAAGTATAATTTAGTGATAATTCCAATTTGTCATTAAATAATGATTTTAAAATGGTACCTTTACTTAAAAAAGTAATTTTTTATCCTTTAGAATGCAAATTTAGTATATATTTTTTAAATATTAATGAATATTTTTCACAAATATAATTAAAATCAAAATTAAAACAAAAAATTAAAAATGGAAGTATCATCTTAAATAAATCATCCCATAAATTGGCTGTTTTAGTATTAAATAATATACCTCATGTTATAAATTAGACTACCATTAGTTATGTTCCAAACAGACAAAGATTGATCAAGTGATGAACTGACGATAGTATTATTATCAACAGCTAATAGTTGTAAAACCTAAAATAATATTTTTTTAAATAAATTATTTATAATTTCTTTAATACCGAGTTTATTTTTAATTTGATAGATTAGATTTTACCTCTCCTTCGTGACCTTTCCAATTAGCAATTGCCTGACCTGTACGTAAATCGATTACTGTTAAATATCCAGTTGATTGGCCAACAGCAATCCAATGTCCATTATCAGCTACAGCAATACTCCTTATTAACCCTGATGCATTAGCAGATATCTATTTTTTTTTTTTTTTTTTAATTTTCGATTAATTTTTTAATTTTTATTTTACATCATTTATAGATACTTTGAGTTCAACTACTGATTTTCCTGTTCTAGGATCAATGGAATGTAAAGCTGGTTGAGTAGATGCAGCTAACAAATTTGGGTGAGGAGTGGGTAAACATTTAAGAATATTCACAGGTATATTATTCATCAAACAAACTAGACGACCACCACTCCATGGATCCCACACATGTATTGATGAGTCACATGAAGCCACAGTGCGAAATTTTTCGAGGTAGGTAACAGATAAAACTGATTTTCTATGTCTATTATAAGTGTATTGACATTGTGAAACACTATTACCATCACCCTTATAAAATAAAATAACCAATAATTAAGTTATGAAATACTGAAAAAGTCTTTCTTGATTTACTTGATTTCTTAATGACCAGAGTTTAACAGTTTTGTCTCGACTAGAACTTATAAAACTATTTTCATTTTCAAGTACACTTAAACATTTAATAGTTGATTGGTGTCCACTAAACATTTGTAACTTTATCTGTTTAAAATTAAATAAAGTATCATGACTGCTACGACCAATTTCATATTCCCAGTATGCTAGCCAGTTTCCTTTTAAATGTCTAAAAACATTAAATAATAGAACATATTTATAATTTTTAATATTTGTTTATTGCAACTAAACAAGTTGTTGAATTTTATGATTTAGACAATCTACATGTCTCAGTTGGAAAAAGTTAAGTTAGTACTGTGGTTTGTTTCAACTGCTGAGTTATATAGGATTTTCTATCCTCTTTTATAAAATTACTAGTTTAAAAGTGAGTATGTTAAAAATTAATAAAATAAAAATAAATGATAACAATTTTAGACCATGTGTTAGGGCGAATTAAAAATCCAAATTCGAATTTAATTGTTTTATATCTTTGTTTAATACCTTTAGTTATGTTAAAAAATATATCTTAAGTATAAATATGTTATGAGTTATGAGAAAACAACATTTAATAAAAATACATATATGATTTTTAATTCCGTTTTTTCTTAAATCTCAATATATCCTACACATAGGTATTCATTTTTTTTTTTTTTTTTGAGTGATAGAAATGTACTTGGAGCACACATGTTAGTATCTTTGACTTTTTATTGAGGACATTAAAATTTTATATTAACTTTAACAATACAATTTTAACATCAAACAGATTTATTATAGCCTTTTTAGCTTTATTGCAAAAAATATATTTTATATAATCTTATTGTCACAAAAAAATGTTTCCATTTAATAAACTAAAGTTTATTTTAAAGTTAGGAGAGCAGAGATAGGATCATTTTTTTTTTTTTAATAATATAAAATATAAGATACCATTAATTTCTGAAAAGTAAAAAATTATATCATGTTTTCTATTTGTATATATATTGTGTAAAACATAGTTAATTAATCACTTTATACAACACACATAATAACTACAAGCGACTTCTAAATATGATTATTCTAAGCAATTTTAAGCAATTAATTTTTTTATATAAATTTTTTATTAAATTATGATGCTATAAAAAAATTGAACATTTATATTTCTTTAGATTTCTCTAAATTGTATCCATGTAAAAATAATTTGAATAACATTTTAATCAACCTTACTACTTATGATTGTAAATTAAAAAATAAAACATACCTTGATGAGTCCATCATTATTTTAGCATCTTCTGCGACTTCTATTTCTTCTTCCTACAAATAAATAAATAAATGTTATTTATAAATTTTGCTTTAAAATAGCAATTGTAAATATTTCTGATAAAAAAATATTTTAATCGGAGTATATATAATTTCAAAAAATGTTATTATAATAACAAATTATATAAATGAGTAAAAATAAATATTTACTTGAAAATGAATTTTATTGCCTTTAAGAGTAAGATGTGCACCAAGTTTTTCTTCGAATTGTAATGAACAATCATCTATAAGATTTTAGTATTATAAATAAAATGAGGTAAATTTGATTCAATTAAAATAAAAATTATAAAAACAAGAAATTATAAATACCAATATTTGTGTAGTTTGCGTACACTCTTTCTTCTTTATACATAGCACATAATTCTTTAATAAAAATGAAGTTCATTAATGTTCTTTGCATAAATGGTTCCCCATAATACTTCATAAATAAATTGTAAGAATGATATGCTAAGTCTGGAGTTAAAACCTTAAATATTTCTTCCATTGCCTAAATAAAATATGGCAATGTCAACACAAAACAGTTTAATTCAAACGACTTTTAAAATTACTTTAGTTTTTACATGTGATTTTTCAGTACCAGCTAATACAGGCGAATCACCAGAGTCACTATTATTAGAATCAATAAGTTGTCCCCTATAAAACAATAAAAATATTGTTATTAAAATTTTAAGAATAAACAAATTAAATTAATACTAAGTTTACCAGTTAACATAAGTAAATCAAAAAAATTGAGCTTATGTACTATAAAACATATAAATTGTTACTTATTTATAATATTAACTAATATGTCTATATTTCAGTAAATACATTAAAATAATATAATGGTTTTACTTCAAATTGATATCCGTTAAATTTGGAAGATCAACATGTCGTAATCTATCAAATATTAAAAATAGTCTTTGAATTGTTTTTGAAATTAAATGACCTTGCTTTAGACCAAAAAAATAAATTGTGTCAATTAATTTAACAGCAAAATTACTGCGGCTTGGAGCTCCCAAAGGAAACATGATTTTAGGTGATGACAAAATTCGTATCATTGGATGAATAATACCTTTGCATAAAATGTCCTTTAAAAAAAAATGTGTTAAAATAGTTTTTTTGACTTGTGGATTTTTATTTTATACTTGACTGATTTCATTTAAAGTTGTTTTAGTGAAATAGGACATCAAATATTTAAGTAAAGTTATACATCCTATAAGACCACTTTCAAGATTAGTTGTCATTTTACTACGCTTACATAATCCCACAACATCAGAAATATGTGGTAAATACTGAACCAAAATCAATTGCTCACCATAAATACCTGAAATAATAATTTTTTTTAATTTAAGAAAACTCGATTTCGATTAAAAATTGTTTTACCAGCAATATTTATTAGACAATTTATAACTATAACAGCTTTTTCATCATTTTGTAAAGAATTACTATAGCACAACATCAATATTTTTAGTAAATTTTTTGTTACATAGAGTGATGTGTGTACTGGACCAACGCGATCTGATATCCATAATAATGATTCAGAGCTAACTTCAGCTATCTAATATAGAAGATAGAAAAATATTACAAATATCTTCATAAAAATATTTATAAGATATTATACTTTTAAAGGCTCTGCATTAATACATTTTTCTGAATCTGGAGTATGACATGACTGCATATCTTCATCATCTGATAATCCTTCAATAGTAACATCAACCATACTTTTGTCATCACTAAAATTTGTGTCAGTACTTTGTCGATCATAATCAATGAATACTTGATCATCTAATAAAACATCTTTAAGAGAGACTATACTTTTATTTAATGCCTCATCATCTAATGATATAGAGTCTGCAAAATAGGCATTTTAAAAGTTTTATATAACATTTATTTTTTGTACAATGTAATTTTTACCATTTTCAAATGCTTTAGACATATTTTTGCTAATCTTATTTGGAGATAAGTTTTCTTGAGATGGAAAAGAGCCACAGATGTCACTAAAGTAATTTGTATACCAAAAATAAAATGATGATAAAATAAAAAATTATTAAAAATAATAACCTACTTTAAATGTTGAATTGGAATTGGATGAGCAGTGTTAAAATTACAACCAGAACCAACAGATTCTACTAAAATAGGAACAATATTTTTTAAAAATATGTTTGTTCCAAAACCAGCAATTAATTTCATTAAAAATGGTTTCTGATACAATTTGATCCACTTATGTTGAATGAAAATACTTTCCTCACTTAAATCACGTAAGCATTCTTCATATAATTTAACTACACATTCGAGAAGTAAATCTTTTGATCGTTTAACGCCTAAAGATTTAAATGCCGGTTCCAATAACTGCAATGCAGCTAAAATGTTGCAATTTGTATCAGATACAAGATCAATTATCATAGGTACTAAAAACTCAATCCAAGTACTGTCAATTAAGAAACCACAAACTTCTGTTTCATTTAATTCAATCATTTCATTTTCAATATCAGTAATAATCTTGATACATAATACATTAAACATATCTAAAGTATACTTTTGATTTTCATCTAATAAATTTTTTACACTTTCCATTTCAGATTTTACTAATTTGTAATTGTGATAAATTTTTAAAATATTTTGCAAGTTAAAGAAATACTTAGGGAAACTTAATAATGATGAAGATAACATAGGAATAAGTAATTGATGAGCTGTTGGTGGAGGAAGCCCGTAATCTGTTACGACAGTACACCAGTTAAAATCAAAAGGTGAAGGATTTTCATTCAAAGGGATTTTATCAATTTGAAGTAGTAATTTGATAGCATGTCTGATACAATTGGGCAAATCTTTGAGATAGGTTGAAGCCAAAATTCGACAAGTTTGTAATCGCTTTGTAAATGATAATGTAGATAAATTGCTACCCAGAGCTATAATTTTATCGCTCATGAATAATTCTACCATTAAGCAACCTAAAACCTAAAAGTAATTTACAAATTAGAATAATATCAGTTAAAAAAAAATTTTCAAAAAAATATAAAAAATAATATATTTTTCTAAAAAATTTTAAAATATTGTTTATATAATGATATCTTTTATCATAATAGAAAAAGCAATAATTCAATAAACTACTATTTATTAATTGCCATTAATTATGCAAACTTATGGTACAGTGAGGACATGACATAGTTGGGACAAGTATAATTGATATCTGACAGTGATTAAAATCACTATCAAAAGAAATGCTTCAATGCAAATTTGTGCGTAGTGCATAATTTTAAGAAATTGGTGGATTGTTTCAAGAGCAACATCAATTCCTATTTCCTTAATTATATCTTAATTAGTAGTTCTTTGATTAATCAGTTGAAAAAAATACTTAATAATTAATATTTTAAATTATGGTAATTAATCTTATTATGAAATTGATATTCAATAATTTAATATTGTAAATTTTACAGAAAAATTATAAAAAATTAATAAGTAAATGTATATGTTAGTTCTATGGCAAACATTTATAAAAATTGAAGTGTTTGATACAAAACTATTCAAAAAATAATTTAAAGTAATTTAGTCTATACTGGTCTACAAGCAACATTCATCAGTGACAAAAATATACTTTTTCTAAACCAATTTTGAGCGGATTTCAAATTTGCAATTAGATTTTTTCTATTATCTCTAATTTTTGTGATTATTACTAATTAATATAAAAAAAAGAATATTTAAATTTAAAAAAATAATAACCTAAAAATTTTAAGTTAAAATGAAATTTAACACCAGGCTATAAAATCATAGGTGAAACTAGGCTCAGAATACTTCTGAATATTACTATATTATAGAATGTCACTATAGGATATAGCTATATGGAATTTTGCAGTTGTAGAATCTATTTAAATACCAAGAGTTTTATATTTATATACTATAATTTTTATTAAAATGATCTATTTCAATATTAATACAAAAAATTTAAGTAAAAATCACAATTTTTAACTTTTGAGAATAATGTAACTAGATACAATTTGTGATCTTTTGACATACAATTGAAAGACATCGGTTCAGTGAGAACTGAGAAAAAGTGGTGCAAACAAAAAAAAAACACATCAAAATAAAATTAATACCTTTATAGCTTTGCATCAAAACTAAAAACTATAATTTCAATATATATTATGGAATAATATAAAGATTATTAACAATCTATGAATTAAGTTTATTGAATATTAATCATTTTTAAAAAGATAAAATTATATAAATTATTTACTTTGTTACGTAAAGTTGTTAGTCATAATACGTGAAAAATACTATTTATTGGTTTCAAAATTTAATACAAAATTATTACTTGAATTTCTTGAGCTCTCCTATTTGCTATTACATTTTTATATGAAGTTATCTTCCTTGGTTTGTTGATATAATCCATAGAAGGATTAAATGTGGCATATATTCCTGATAAAAATTTATTCAAAGTATCTAATGCTAACAAGGGAGTAGCAGGATTATAATCAGGAGGTAGCTAAAATAGTACAGCTCAATTATATTAAACAATTAAAAAATAATTAAGCATTAAAATAAATAGTACTAACACAAAGTGGTGTTTTTGAAAAATCTAAGTATTTTGTAAATCCATTGCTAGGTCTATCATCAGTTTCATTGCATGAAATTTCTTGTTCCGTTTCAGTTAATGGTGGCGTTTCTATATCAAAAAATAAATAAATGCTTCTTAATTATAATCAGAAATTTTAAGATAGACTAAGTGTTTACTAACTCATTTTTGGTAAAACTGGAGGAATATGTGAAAAGTAAGGCGATGGCAATAGTTTTTGAGGATGAGGTTGGGTAAATAATTGAACTATACCAGAGGATGATAAATTTGTATGATTATCACTAAGTTGAAGACACACATTTTTTGATTTAACAGCAGCTATACCAGATAATCTAAAATATTTAAAAGCATAAATATTTTAAATAAAAGGTAAAAATCATTAAATTGTCTATTACTTATAACCAAAAGTTAAATCAATCCAGTGGTGTAATCTTTCTGAAATATAATTACATTCTAGTATAGCTCTATGAGTATCCACCAAATCTTGAACATTTTCTGCCCAAGTTGGAATACCTAAGTCTGGAAGCTCTTTATGAATTGACTGAAATTAGAAATATTTAAAACACATTTATAATAAAAACAACTTTGGAAAAAAAATAAATATTAATTAATTCATCAACAATAACCTACTAAATAAACTTTAAAATTTCATAAATATACTAGTGTACAAAATTTTAACTGTAAATATTAACAACACCATTGAATAAAAATGTAAAAATAATAATAATAATTAAGTACTAAAAACTACAATAAAAAATTTCTAATTTTAAATAAATTACTTTAAAAACTGAAGGATCAGTAAAAAATTCAGGAATACATTCATCCGGAGACCATTGTTGCATACGTTGTATACTTGATGGATATTCTTCAGGTACAAATTTTGTCCTTATGTATCGGCAAAGAACTGAACGTGGTGTTACACGAGATCTGTACACATAGTAAGTTATCTCTGATAATATATCAGTTACATGATGAGGGATCTAAAAAATGACCATTATAAAATAATAACAGAAAATATATTAAACAAAATACTAGAACTTACCAAAATTGAATTTTTTTGATCTCCAATATCATAAGTCAAGTCTAACTGTCTATCACCTTTGTTTATCCTATATTTTGATCTTGTGAGATCACGATAATTTAGACCAGCACGGGAGCTGAAATCCGTAACCCAAGGAAATACATGATGACATTTAGGATCACCATATTTTCTACCAGCTAATTTATTTAAAAAAGTTAAATAATCAAAATTTGATATTTTCCCATATACCCATTGTTCACACATAAAGGCTAGACTTTCTGTATGCATTTGATTTTTTATGTCATTAGATACATTATTACAATCACTACTACTAGAGTCTGAAATATTGTCAGTAATTCTGGGCAAAATCTTTCAAAAATAAAAATAATTTTAAAAATAACATTATTTTACTATTTACTTATTCTGTACTAAACATACCTTTATCCATAACTCTGGAGAAACAATAACATCTGATAATGTTATATTACCCAAAACAAGTCCACGATCATGACTATTTTGCATAGCATTTAAAAGTTGAAAAATTAAAAACAATGGTCGAGCATAACAATTTTTTAATAATGCTGGACTATAATTAACACAATCTTGTAAAGTATGAGTATCATTTGTTTCCTAAAATTAGTGTATTTTTTCATAAAAAAATTTAATCAATAAATAAATATCTAAAAATATATTTCAATAAATACAAATAATTAATATGATTTGATGATATAATGATGAAAATGTATAAACTCAAAATTGAAAATTGCTGATGATAAGATTTAAAAATGAATCAAATTAATAAGTAATAAATAAATTATAAAATACAGGCAATGATAAAAAGATCTTACTTGTAATAAATAAAAGTATTTTTCTGTTTCAAATACTATGTTAGCACATAAAATATTAGAGTGTGAATCGTTATCTGAAGATGGACACACTTTTTGAGATCGTTCTCGAAGATTAACTATTTGAGAATTATAAAAACGTACAAGAACATCTTTAATAACACTATTATATGGTAATAAACAAATATTAGAAGAAAATGTTTGTTCTTTAAAAAAAAATCCATCTAAAAAAAAAACAACAAAATCATATAAATTTAAAGCAATAAAAAATTCATAAAGATATTTTAAACATTACTCAAGCTATATTTTTTAAATGCTTCTTTCCATAAATTCTTTCTATTGGTAACTGTTACATACTGCAGTTGTTGAGAGAGGCTTAAATCTTTTTCAAACTTAATAGATTCATATTTTCGGGCTAATGGAATAACATGTTTATCTTTTTTAGTAATAATCTACACATAAATAAAACATAAAATAAAACTTTGATTTCCTTAAAAACATTAAAAATCATACTGAAACTAGAACATATATCCAAGCATCACCTAAACTTTCAATTTGTTGTACTTTAGCTTGAACATCATCATTTGTAAAAGTTTCATGATGCAAGAATGGTCGATAAATACCATTTAAAAAATCTCTACATCAAAATTTTTTTTTTCTGTTTAATATAATATTAGAGTTCCTTTTTTTTTTTATAATCAATTATTATTTAGATAATTTTACCTGTACCAAATACGATGAACATTGGCAAAAAAGCGTTTAGGGTTATTTGTTTGTTTTATATACTCAGATGGTATCGACAAATCTTGTGAAACGATGTTTAACAATACCATCTTAATAATTTAAGATTTAAAAATAAATCAAAGTCACAAATTGAAGATGTCAAAATTTTTAGAATACTAAACAACTTTTACTGTTTTTAAATTTCAATGTTTACTAGAGATATTTATTATCAAATTTGATAAACATCATTTATCAGTTACACCTAAACTGATAAATGATAATAAAATTAAAATAATAAACAATAATAATTATTGGTTTATATATTTTGTAACATTTAGTTTATGTTTCAAAAGATTTGGATCAGTGTTGAATTGAGAACTTTTTTTATTGGAGATTCTAAGCATTGGACTAAGCAGAAAAAAAATTATTTTCCTATATAATTATAAAATTTTAAAAAATGGTTTCCAACTATTAAACAAAACATCCCGTCAATTGTCGAAATAGCTTATTATCATTTTTATTCTGATATTGTCAGGAGGGTCTATCAAAATGCCAAGGTGGTTCCAGATTTCTCTGAACTATACCTGGATTCAACACTGATTAGGTTGTATTGGGTTTCTGGTTAATGTCATTAACAAATTTTAATATCTACATAATGAATGAGGGTAAAACTATAAAATAGATAAGTGGTATTCAATAATTAATAGTTCCAAATAATTTAATTATTAATATCTGAAAAAGTTATTGAAGGTCACAGGTACAACTTGTGATGGAAAAGTTGGGATGGCCTAAAACACGGACAGTCCGCTACTGACGAGAACTTCCAGATAATTCCAGGAACCGCAGTTATACTGTATTTTTATGCCGCTCGTTCATGTTGCCGTCGCGTGACTATAACCGTCCGACCTCCTGAAATATGTTGTGCGCTCAAATAACTAATTTGAGAGTATTTAATTTAAATTTTACAGGCACAGAATTAAGTGTTAAACCTCATCTACAAATAAACGTAGTTAATTAATAACATTAACGAACCCATTTCTCACTTGAGATTTTACTTTAACAATTTAAAAAAAAAATGTACACTTTTTTTAGGTCGTAATTGATTAAGAAACTATTCTTTATAATTAAATTCTATTACATTAGTACATTATATATTTGATATGTATTAGATACGTTAATATATCAGGAAAGTAAAAATTATAAGTTTTATTTTTAATTAATCGCCAACAACAATTTTTAAATAGCTAGAAACGAGCATGTATAAATTGCAAAAAGCATATAAATGGCCTCATGATCATTTGGTTTCAAGTTATCATCTTAGCCATTACTTGGACGATTGAACTGAAAAGGTGTTCAGCTATTGCACCGATAAACCTGTTCCTCAGTTGATGCAGAAATATATCTAAGGTCGTTGTATCTAATGTCATAATATCGCAATACACCCAGAGAAAAACCTCGATCTATATAATAAATTCATTGTTCAATTTGATAAATATATCATTACTATTGAATCAATGATATATTTATCAATATGATATTTTTTTTTCTTGTCTTGAACAATAATTATTTATAAGAATAGTTATTTTGTTCGTATTAATAAAACATTATCATAAACCCTTGATAAAATTTCTCTTTCAATTTTGATTGAGGTTTTTCTTTGGGTGTACCTGATATATGATTATAATGGTTTTTATTAGTTAAAAAAATGATTTTAACAAAAAACAACCAAATTTTAAAACTTTTAAATCAATTGTTGCTTTTTAAAACTTTTTACATAAAATTTATCAGTGTGAAAACTTAACCCTATTTAAAAAAATTAATTGAAAAAAGGGTGTCTGTTAAACTCGATTTATACCAAAAAAACAACCACGAATATCTTTTTCGTCATTTTTTTATTCATCTTTGAGATGACTTTTAGACTATAATGTTTCAATAGACGAAAAATTAATAGTTACTATTAAAACACTATTATAAATTTAAAAGATAATGATTCAATTTAGAAAGTAAATACTTGTTTCAAAAGTTCTGAGACACGTATTTAACGGGTATGAATAACCCGAGTCCATAAAATAATGCCTCCATAATTAAAGTTAATTTTTTGAGAATAGTGGATGATAAAGAAATGTGATAAAGTTTTCAATTAATTTATTCATTTTGACAAATTTTTTAAGTTACGCTTATGTTTAAGAAATGCTTTCTAAGACTTCTTCATAATCTCAATGAAAAAAAAATATATATATATATATATATAAATTGCTTGAAATTTTTACGGATGGATCCGCGTTTTTTGTAGTGAGCTGACGTTTCTGACTCGTTGCAGAGTTAATCTTCAGAGCGATAGTTACAGACTCATAGTTGTAACTATACTGTCAGTTTATCATGTTTATGGTATGTTTTTATATCAGTTGATAATTGATAACAAGATGTTGTTTATTTGTTGTTGTATTTGTCGTGTTGATGTTAACTATCAGTTTGTTGTTTACATCCGGTTTTGTTGTTGTTTACAAAAATGACATTCTTGGCATTTAGCTTTTCCTTTTCTACGCCGAATATTTTCTGTTATGTTAATTTTTGTTTTTTCACACATTAAGTTATTTTCTTTTTGCCTGGTGTATAATAGGTAACCAAGTCTTGCTAAAAGTCCATACAAACTATCCAAAAAATTACGAAAGAGAAGATGGATGAACTATTAGTAAGACTTGGTTATCTATCAAACATTAGTCAAAAGAATAAAGAAAATATGAGTAAAAAACTAAAATTAACATAACAGAAAATATTTGGTATAGAATAGGAAAAGCTAAATGCCAAGAATGTCATTTTTGTAAACAACAACAAAACCGGATGTAAACAACAAACTGATAGTTAACAACAACACGACAAAAACAACAACAAATAAACAACATCTTGTTATCAATTATCAACTGATATAAAAACATACCATAAACAAGATAAACTGACAGTATATTTACAACCACGACTCCTATGATAAATACGCTAATGAACTTATATCTATAATGTAGTCTTTTTTTGATATTGTTTAATGTCTTCTCAACTAAAAAATGTTAAGATTTTCTTTTTTACTATGACCAGTGTGGTCACCTAAAAATTAGTGTTTTCCAGCTAATACTCTCAGCCGTCAGTAATTAATTGCCGGGTGTAGGCTGTGATAGTGTTTACTCGCGAATAGTCTCATCTAAAGTTTTAATATGATTTATTAATAAAAAGTATTAATTTTTAAAATTTATTCACTTAGAAATAAAAATATGTAATTGTGGCTAGTTGTTTCTTTTAGAATTTACTTTTAAAATTAGTCTAAACGTTTAATTAAAAGGAAAAATAATAATTAACAGAAACATACTTCTTGTATGAGACGATGGAAATTTGTACAGCTCAGCGATATTTAATCAAATCTCGATATCTGCACATTGAGGCACAACTTGCTGCCGATCAATCCCAGGCCGCCGAGTCAATATTATAGACTATACTTTATTAAATAACTAAGATTTGAACATAATTGATAATGTAATAAAAATTTTTTTTTTAAGAACAGTTTATTATATTTTATTGTTCTCTTTTTTTAGCATACTTGCTTATATTTGGATCTTTTTAAGCGCATATAATTTCGTGCTCTTATTATAATTCATTAAATAATATACAGTGATTTATCCTTTCAGGGATAAAAAAATTTAAATTTAATTTTCTTTATTAAGGGAATCCTTATTTTAATTTTTTATTTGATCAAAGGTTTCATTTTTTAAAATTGTTTAAAGATTTGAATTTCAAATACAAATTCATCGTTAATTTGGTTTTAATTTTCACAATAATCTTTATCTATAGCCCAAAAATTATTTTTGTGGTCGTTAACAAGAAAATTTTCCATACCGGCTGCTCAACAATAAACAATAGTAAAATCTTGCGTTGAATATAATATTATGTGTCTATTAATAGACATGAATTATTAAAGATTTCACGGTACAAAGTCCAGCAAATGCCGCATGCCCGATGAATACATCACTGACTTTATGAAGTTTGTAATATATTTTCTATGCACAATGTTCAGTAAGTAAAGAAACAGGTCAATTATTAAAAGAAAAAGAAAAATAGAAATCCTTATTTACTGAACACTTATACAGACTACATATAGTCTGTGAATATACGTTGAAGTCATCTTCATGATACCTAATGACATGCATCGTTCGAATATGGCTTATTTTTTTCGGCACATAGTCAAGCAACTACACTATTGGAAATTGGTTAATTAATTAGATCTCGTGCATCATTCTTGTTTTTGCCTTTTGTATGCTATTCTTGTTTATTAGTGGGAATAAACAGATCTACATTAATTTTCAATCTTAAAATATTGTGTTGCTCACATTTATTCCGTGTCAGTTTTATATTATCAATATATAGTTAATGAAAACGAAATCATTATTGTGGCTTCAGGTTGTATAGGCTATAGTATTATTATATTAATAAAATACACTGGGGGTCCAATGATTTTACCATGTAGGAGATGAAAAACCTTGATAAAAATCATCATGAGAGCTGTCTCCTACATCAAAACTATAATAACATCTATTAAGATGTTATTATGAACTATTAGATAAATATAAATGATTTTTTCTTATTTAACCCATTTATAATATTTAATTTATTTTAGAATAGTACGCCATTAAATTTACTTATAAATAATTACCAAGACTTAAAATTTCATCTCCCAAATTTATAAGATTAAAATGTTTTCCATATTAACTATGTTCAATATTTTTAAATTGAGTAATTTACATAAAGTTTCCTAAATATAAAACACATATAATGAAAATTGTAAAAAAAGGTATGTTATTTAAATAACAACTAGCTCTGCATCGTTGAAATTCATAACTGTCACCTTTTACGAATATCACAAAACTGGATTATAATTAATCCACACAGTATTCTCAAGACATCTCTCATTTGTCGCCAAAAATAAATACGGACATAAAACCCATTCACTTGTAAATATTAGGCACAGACGCGGTTTTTTATTCGCGACAGCTAGCGGCTAAACAGCTTCGTGTATAACCAGCTAAAATGCAATCAATTAACAATACTATGAGCGATAAATAACAAGGAAAACAACCCAATTGGATGGTCTATTAATAGCAATGATTTTAGTTTACTATACACCATTAGACGGTGTATATCGCTGAAATTTTGATTATTATCCATTCGATAGACAGATATTTGA